TTTTTCCTTAAAGGTTCCTTGCTTACATAAGGGAAAAATCCAAACTTTCATAAATAGCATTGTATTTAAAAAACAAAACAAAACTGAGAAAGAGCAGTAAGTCAGTGAGGTGATTGGAGTAACATAAAAAAGGAAGCTGCCATTTTGCAGAGTCTGTGATACACACCATTTCTGAATTTTCCTTGGTCACGGCTTTTAGTTTCTCTTCCATGCGCTGCAAAGACAGCATCAGTTCATCGTTTCTCTTGGCGAGGCACTTGTTCCTTTCCAGAAGAGGTTTACATTGTTTTTCGGTTTCCCGCACACGTTTCAACTGGGAAGACACAAGTTAGAGTTGACGCTAATGGATTTCTGTCATACTCTTCATCACCCTCCATCAGTCTGAAAGGAGGTGCTGCTGAGGGTCTGCTGTTGGACATGCTCGGGAAGGGGAACTGCGCTCTTTGTTGTTCCCGAGTCCTCTAGCCCAGTTACCCTGCTCTGCTCAGCCCTTGATCACACCTGTCCCTGGGCCTCACTGGCTCAAAGACATAAAGCAGCTCACTGGAATCACGCAGTCACTACAGGACCCGAATCCAAGCCTGGCTGTCCCCAAAGCCTGTTCTTTTTGTCAGAGATCTTGCCAAGTCTGACTCCCAACTAAGGCTGTTTTTAAGAAAGTTTTATTGAGAAAAAAACAAAACATAGCTTTGCAGCTCTACTGATATTTGTATTTAAGAACAACTAATTCTTACCATGCCATGGAAAAGTATGGCTGTAGTGTCACCTCCCCATAGCTAGGTGTGACTATACTCTGGATTGCCTGGTTAGTCTAAGGGGGTTTCTCAGCTGCTCGACAGTTGGGGTCAGACATTTTTTGTTGTAAGGAGCTGTCCTGTGCACCACAGGATGTTTAGCAGCATCCCTGGCCTCTGCCCACTAGATGTCAGTAACACCCTCCCAGTTGTCACAATCAAAAATGTCTCCAGATATTGCCAAAATCGCTTTGAGCTGAGAACCACTGGTCTAAGTTTATGAATGTTACCTTGAGGTAACTGTTGATAGTCTCCCCTTTTACTCTCAAAACGCTCCTATTTGCATGACATGCTTTATGGTCACCCGATACATAATGGATTTCCATGTTCAAGTTCTCGTGATTGTTCATTCATTTCACACTAATGGTTCCGAATGTATTGCGGGAGGGGATTCCAAGGCAAGGAAAATGGAGGGGTGTATCAGAAATACCTGAAAAGACTGCTTAAAGGACTCACTCCTGTTTTTGAGAAACTAACATTTTGGGAAGTGCCAGGAAAGGAGACTCAGCTACCTATAAATATTTGAAAAAGTTTCTCTTGCGATTCTAAAACAGTACTCCCCAACTCTATGCCAACTGCCATTTGAAAACTCC